ACATAACATGAAGGCACATAGATTCTTGGGTGAGGATTGCAGGGAGGGGGGGGGGTTGCAGGAGGCCTGTCCCTCTCCCTATCTTTTGAGAATGTAAAGTTTTGACTTAAATTTTAAGGATGAAAAATTTTAATGAAAGCTCCCCTCTCCTCTTTTATGGACCTTTACATCCCACCAAATAAAATTTTGAGTTGGGAGAATTCCTTTCCTTTTTTTTGGGGGGGGGGGGGGCTAGTCAAAGATTTGATTTACAGGTAATGTGTCATTTTTTTCCTTTTAATGCCCCCCTTTTTTAAATCAAACCTATACATATGCCTGACATTTATTTTTTCTACATCGCACCTAAACTAGAATTACAAATTCCAAAGTAATACAACTGGTTGTTTTTAACCCAGTTTCTCTCATTAGTACTTCAGTAGATGTAAACAAGTAAGATGGCATGAGTGTGTGTCATTTAATCATTGAATCATATAATAAAACAATTCGGGCTCGGTGAATATTGTACTTCTCAGGTGTCTAAATCATCGTATTGACCTTAAAACCCCCCCAGCAATAATTGTATATATATATATATATATATATATATATATATATATATATATATATATATATATATATATATATATATATATATATATATATATATATATATATATATATATATATATATATATATATATATATATATATATATATATATATATATATCTCAAAAAAATCACAACACCGAAATAAACTCTACCGGTTTCATTTTCAATCTTCAGGAGTTTGACAACATATTGCTTAGTTACACATGGATATATATATATATATATATATATATATATATATATATATATATATATATATATATATATATATATATATATATATATATATATATATATATATATATATATATATATATATATATTAAATCAGATTGTTAAGCTTTGGTTTCAACGTACAAATAAAATGTTTTTTCTTTTTGACGTCTACAAATATCATTTCCTTCTGTTACTTTATAAAAAGGAAATATCTTAAATTTCTTTTGTCCACACACGTCTAAATGTTCACTAAGTGGTATCTGTCTGTATTCTGGCGTGTTGATATGCTGTTTATGAATACGAACCCGGGTACGGAGAGTGTTACTGGTCTCACCAATACAATATTCACTATACCTGGACATGTTATAACATATAAAACATTTTGTGTATCACACTACATATTGGCGTTCACTGTAAATCTTCGGCCGTTAAAGTTATAGCAAGTTCCTTCAGTTAGATGGTCGCAGGTTCCACATCGAGGATTTTTACATTTAGTCACTGAAAATGTATTTACTATGCTATTGTCCTTCATTGTAGGTTTTTTTTTTCAAAATACAATAGTTTATCAATAGTTCCTATATTCGATTATATTTTTATTAGACACATTTTGTAAAGTTTTAGTACATTAATTTTCTATAAAATGAACAATTACAACATATCATCTACTTCACTCCACATAAAATCACAGGAATTACCTTAGAAGCATTCCCTATGAAGAAAACCATGACACATACGCAGTTCTTCATTTTTATATTGTTGCCTCTTTTAATCGCAGATCCCTATAGAACGATTCGTTCTTAAGTAAGGGTATAATTGAATGATCATTATCTTAAAGTGTACTGTGTTTACTTAAGGTTACTTGAACTTCTGAAGAGAGAATTATGTTTGATAAAAATTGTTAAGATATGGAGGATATGTGTTTCATGTAAAAGGTGAAGATAGCAAACTGTGATCAATGTCATCAATACAAATCTAAATAGGGCAAAAAAGTCATGTACCCCTGGAAGCACACTAGGTGGGATCAGATGCCTTAGAGGAGTAAGCATACCTTGTCTCCACTGTGATCCCTCTGTACTGATCAATTTGTTTCCAAAATGAGTGAAACAATCACCCAACAATGGGCATAAAACAAAACATGTCAGTCAAAATTCGACACAACGACAAGTACTTTGGTAAACAAGGTCATTTTAAGACAATGCTGACTTTAACGAGACTATTGAAAGACCTGCAACATTACTTTATTTGACAGTGACTTCTCTCGGTTTAAAGCTTGTCCGTACTCAGAATATTTTTCTTTTGAACCGAATCATTTGGGAGACATATGTATGCAGATCAAACACGTATGAAGATGAAAGTAGGATATTGCAACACAAAAAGCGGAGAAATTGTCAATCGGTTTGTCATGTAGTTTAATTTGTTGTTTCCCATACACGTCTATATTCTGTCATTCACATATGAAACGGATATGGCACATTCTGTAGTGTCTTTTAATATGAAGAAAACTCGAGGTTTCCTAAACTTTGGCACTCTTATAATAAATGATTTAAGGCCCTCATTAACTATATTTACATTACCAGCATTGACGTATCCAGCAAGACTGTAGGGTGAAGAGGAAGATGATCAGGTTAGAGGATTATGTTTCAGATGCTCGATATCTAGGCACTGTAGAGTTTTTTTTTTATAATTAAATAGTTTTGAAGCAATTGACAATGTATATTTGTATGAAATACAAGGTGTGGACTTAACTTGAAATATGGTGGAATACAAGACTGGACCTTTAGTGATTTAGAATATCACTTGTACATATATTTAGTGCGTCGATTCATTTGTTATTATATTGAATTTTAAGGAACAAACGGATGGTTTGAGCGGTATTTTCTTCCGCAAAACGTGAGGGTTTTATGAGCCTATGATTTGCAATATCCATAATCACATATCCGAGCCTGTATTCTGTTGTCGAAGAAACCAAACATGACTTTCCTTGACGTTTACAAATAGACTATTCAAAACTTTCAAAAGGACAGAGTAAAGATTGTTGCGAATGTGATACAGGCCTAACTGTTTATTTACATAAGGTAGTAGTAAATCAAAGGACACGTCGTGTATTATAGGTTAATTGTAATACCGATCTCCATGACTACGCTTACGTCTCTGTGTACTGTTAAAAATGTCCCATCACATTCATATTGTTACACTGTGGACTTGAAAGATTCCCAACACTACTGACATTGTCATTGGTACCATATGTAAAAGCCGTCCCTAGTGTTCTAATCTAATATTCTTTTCGTTGTCTACGGAAAGGTGTACTCAGTGATGGCTATTAGTATGATGGTAAATCTTTTCTAGAATTCTAGCTTTCATAGACAAAATAGAATAATCAGGTAAATTGAAAATGCTTGTATAGAAGCTGCTGGACCCCGTTGTTGATTTGAAATTTATGCCCCGATACTCTTTTATTAAGTTAACTTTCACCAACATAAATAAACCAACAAAGGGTACATTCTATTCCGTAGACAACATTTGAAGATTTGCAATTGAGATTTTCATAGGTTTTTAAGTTTTTGACAGAACATTTTGAAATAGAACACAGGAGATCGGAAAAGGAATCGTCAAATATATCTTTAATAGAAACTTTACATTCGTTCAATGTTTTGTATGAACTGTTGTTTCTATACCAAAACTGAAGATTGCACATATGAAATATGCTTAATATTCCTGTGTATAATCCGAGGGACACCGATTAAACTCTTAGAGTCTGTGTCAGTTATAGACTCAAAAGAGTGACACCTTTTTAACTGGGCGACGCGACTTCCATTATCTTAATTTCGTTATGCTGTAAGCATATCCTGCCGACCGGTCACACCCGCCGTGTGCTCCTTGTCATGATCGGGAAATAACAGGAAAATCCGCAGACAATTTAGTGTGTAAATAATGGCCTAACAATTAACATGAAAAACGTCAGTCGTCATTTGACTTTATGATAGGTTGTATTTGCTGACAAGGTCAATGTATCAACCATGAATTTTCCAAAATGATGACTTCAAACGAGACTGTTGATATATCTTGCTGATTTTAGAAATATCCTATTTTTGCTAGTGATAGCCGGGAACATTTCAGAAGAATTTTTGGGCAAGTTGTTCCACACAACTATTAAAAGAAATCAAAAGAATATGAATCCTCTGAAGTAGCGCTTTTTCGGGAATCTGTGTTTAGAAATAAAATAATTTTAACCCGAAAGACTTAAAAAAAAAACGCGGTACTCTAAATTCACTCTTATACAACGAATGCTTTCTATTATCGTGTACCATTCTCCTGTTGAAAAATGCATTACATTTGACCTGTTCTAAAACTTAGTTGAATGGTCAGGAGTATATGTACACAAATTTTCTGGACGACGTCGTATTCTATATATTTTATATAAGGTTCCTAAGATTTATACAATAGAACGACCTTTTTGGGGTTTTATCTGACGTCCACTCTAACAGTTTTATCTGAAGTCCACTCTAACAGTTAGGATCCACTAAGACAAGGATTACTACTTTGGTGCCCATACTTGATTTTTGAACTTTACAAGTACCCTTGCATACACTGACAAATATACAAAAGAAAACACATGTGACACTGGATAAAATCGACAGGGGATCTGGTATCTTATCTTAATCAAAGTCTAAATTGCTCAGTAGAGAGCTGCTTGTCCTATTAATTCCATATATAAATTTTCTGATGTTTGTAAGCATATTTGTTCTCTTTAATGCTGACTATGTCAATAGGATTTCACACTGTGAATATAAAATACATGATGACTTCTTGAAATATAAACGATATTTGAGCAAGAGTAAGAAAACCTAATAGAGGGCGAGGCTTGAGCTACATATCAGTTATAAATCCTAAACAGGGATGCAAAGAATCCCAATACACTTTACTGCTTTTAAATATTTTCATACTTAAGGTTATATATTACAACGTATTACTATTGTTACTAGTATAAATATCTTAGAAACAAGATACATTTCTTGTAAATTAAAGAAAATGAAACGAAAAATTTAATTTCCAAGTATCTAAATAGTCATGACTATACCAAAACAGTAGGGTTGGGGTCAAAGAATTAAAAAAAATATTTCAGTAATCATGGAGACAATGAATATATAAAATTCATCATCTTAATGTTTTGTACAAGTAAAATAATATTTTACTTTGAGGCACAAATAAATTCACAGTGACTTTGAACACAATGTACACACTGCAGATCAAAATCCATCAATATTTGCTAAATTCACACTGCAGGATCGATACAATGGACTCTGTAAAAAAAAGAAACATTTTTAGATACGCCAAATGAAGCTTATAAAATATAAAGATGAAATATATTTTGAATTTATTATTGAAAAACAATTAATTGACATTACCTTGTTTTTGTCAAACAAAGACACGTGGCAACACCGACAATAAGCAACAATACGGCAGCTGACAAGCCCACAACTATAGGTAGCCATTTCTGTGTATTACAATGCACTGAGTTACACTGCATATATTAATTTTATTAATTTTGAACATTTAAAGATTAATCAAATTTGAGTGTGGCTATTTAATAGATTTAATACTACCTCAAAGAAGACTGTATTGCTTTTTCCAGAAGAATGATTGGTAGTTTGTTCGGTTGGTTTGTTGATTGACTTGATTATAAGCTTGTCAGTAAAAAACTGGTGGTGGAGTTGTTGTCAAGTTTATCGGTTGAATCCCTGGTGTAGTTAAGAAATGAATTTAATAGCTACCCAAGGTATACTGGTATAACGTGGGTATGGGCAGTTACGTTTTATAAACCGCGAAGCGGTTTATAAAAAAGCGTAAACTGTTCCAACCCAGGTTATACCAGTATAACTTGGGTGGTTATTAAATTCATTCCTTATAATTTAATTTTCCATCAACAAGTGTAAAAATAAGACAATTTCTCCTTCAAAATTGCCTTCAAATTGTACGTTTTCTAAATGTAACTTCAAGCGGATTGATAGGTTTTTGACCTAAGTTATTGTGACGTAGGCAACCCAGGTTATACGATATATGCTATTTTTTTTAATCCAATCTAATGATGTCTTACAACCAAAATTAAATTATTTGTTAATCGTGTTGTCGGTTGAAATAGATGTAGAGATGTTGATTGTGTTGAGGGTTGGATTATTTGCGTTGTTCGAAAGTTTATTGGTTTCATCGCTGGTGTAATTGTTGACAGTGTTCTGGATAAAATTGTTTCTGGATTTATTTATTATATTGTCAGGAGACTTACTGGTGGAGTTGTGGAAAGATTTGTCGTTCTTGCTGTTGGTTGAGTTATTGATAATATTATTGGTAGAATTATTGGTCTTGTTGTGGTTTGGTTTATCAGTTGGATTGTGGGTTGAGTTGTTGAAAGTTTTATTGGTTGGATTATTAATGAAGTTGCTGATAGTATTGTGGGTTGAATAACCGGATGATTAAAATTTTGGCAGAATTATTAATAGTGTTCTCGGTAGAACTAATGTTTGAGCTGCTCATTGTATTGTCAGTATAATTATTGGTGGAGTTGTAGAGAGATTTGTCGGTTGTACTGTCGGTGGAGTTGTTCATAGTTTTGATAGTTGGATTATTTGTGGAGCTGAAGGTTGGTTTGTCGGTTGGATTGTTGGTGGTGTTTCTTATAATGTTGTCAATTGGATTTTTAGTGGAATTGTTGATATTGTTATCAGTTGAATTATTGACAGTCTTGCCGGTAGGATTGTTGTATGATCTGCTGATATCTTTTTCTGCCGTTGCTGAATTGATACTAGTAGGGAAAAATATAGCACTGGTATGGTTGTTTTGTCATTTGTTGAATCTTTATATATTTACGTCTTTACAATGCTTTGTAAAACTGAAGGAAATTACTGTGAAACAGTTAGAAATAATGTATTGCTATAAAGAGGAATCCTTTATCATTAAAAGCGTTATGTTCAAATATTTGATAATCCTTAGAACAAAAACAAAATCAATCTTAAAAGTTGAAATGCTCAAGACATAGCTTTTCTAAAAAATACACACAGAATATACTCTTACTACTGACATATTCACTTTACTAGTTAAATTAAAATAAAGCTGTGACTATAATGTAAAAACATGTCAATTTGACTATGTTCATCACTTCCGAAAAATAACTCCTTTGTTCATGGTTTCGATACTGAACAGTAGATTATTTTTACATGAGGTATCTATATTTGATTTTAAACTATGATAAGTGAAGATAACGAACAGTGAATATGCGTTAAAATGCATTTAAACAATAGAAAATGTGAGCAGAGCAAACACGAACTCCCAAAATAGAGTCGGGATAAAGTGTCATTGAAGAGTGAACATCCCCCGTTGACCAGTCACACCCGCGTATGCTCCTTGTCAAAATCAGATAAACGGGAACAATTTGTAGACAATTCAGTGTTAAATAATTACCAATGAAATATGAAGATAACGAACAGTATTCAAGCTCAAAATTCCATTCAAAGAGTACATATCAGGAGCAGAGCAAACACGGACATTCAAAACATCAGTGGTAGATTTGGTGCCATGGAGCATCTCCATTGTATCGACCACAGAACTTGCTAAATGATAACTTTAAACGAGACTGTTGATATTCTTGTTTCATCAACTTTTTGTCAATAGCAGGCCTCGTTTTAAAAATTGTTCGTACGTAGAACATGCTCTTGCATATCTAATCAACTAAGAGACATAAACCCCATATGCAAGTGATAAGGCTACAATGCTACAAAGTAAGGTAAGTTGACGATTGACAAGTTGAAGTCATCACGTTTATCATAAAGCTTGGTTGTTTGGTTACCATTTAAATCTTTTTCTAATAAAATATCCAAATATGGAATATATATTTGTCAGATTCTGTAGTATCTTTTATTTCAAGCGCACTGAGATAAATCGAGTTGACATATGAATGGAAGTAACTATTGTTAATTGATAATACGTCGTCGATATATCGTAATGTCGTATTGAATGCTACAAGTGTTTACTTCTCATGTATAAGATTTTGAATAAATTCTGCTTCATACGAATACAAAAATGGTCTGCTAATAGCGGGGCAAACAATTTTTGAAAGATGTCAGTCAACATATGACCTATCAATAGATCGTATTTGTAAAAAAAGGTCAAAATGATGTCTTTAAAAGAGATTGTTTATATCCCTGTATCATGAACTTATTTGGCAATAGCCTGAACTGAAAGACTTTACCTCCATATGGAGATGTTAATCGTATATTGCTACATCAATATGGAAGTTGGTGATAACAAAATTAAAGCCATCACATTTATCATTAGTTTAGTGTTAGGTTGCAATCAGAGTTTTTCTTTAGTAAGATATCAAAATATGAAAAGAAGTGTTAAACACAGCGATATGTGATTTCGAGTTCAATAGGATGATATATTTTTAAATCAAAGTCTTGATTTGATAACAAAACATTTACTCTGTAAAACTGTTTTCCGACTACAAGGACACTTTCAGGATATATCAAATCGACGTAGGAATCAAAATGAATAATTATAAATTATAATACGTAGTCAGTGTACATAAATGTTGATTTAAAGGCCACAGCAAGAGACTTCTTTTTTCATGTAGAAGTTTTTGAATTAATTTGCTGGATAAGAATACAAAAACAGATCAGCTTATAACGGGGCACAATTAGAGCCATGGAAATTCCATCATAATTGAAAATTGGTCTCCAAAACTTACATAGATATTGTTAATGAAAAACACAAGCAAATTTATAAAAATGTACTTGTGTGTTCTTGCGGAAAACTTGTTTTTAGAAGAAGAATGATTTTTAACAAAATATGTTATTTGTTTCTAAAGGTGTGCAATACAACGAATACGTAAATGCTTTTTGACAATAAGGAAAGGTAAATCACCTGCATACGGGGTTTATATATCGCAGTTGAATCGATACGCAAGAGCATGCTCTACGTATGTACAATTTCTAAAACGAGGTTAGTTATTGACAAACAAGTTGATGAAACAAGAATATCAGCAATCTCGTTTAAAGTCATCATTTCGTAAGTTCTATGGTCGATACAATGACCTTGTCAGCAAATACAATTTATCATTGAGTCAAATGCTGACTGATGTCTTTCATACTTATTGTTAGGCCATTATTTGCACACTGCATTGTCAACGTATTTTTCCGTTATTTCCCGATCATGACAAGGAGCACACGGCGGATACGACAGGTCGGCAGGGATGCTCACTCCTCCATGGCACTTGATCCCACCTCTGATGTTTTAGAGGTCCCGTGTTTGCTCTGCTCCAAAATTTGTATTGTTTAATAGACTTTTGAACTTAAATACTGTTCGTTATCTCCATACATTTCATGATTGAGACAGACATTCTTACCTCTCATAAGAAGAGTTCATAACGTTCTGTTATTAGACTTATTTGACGATACTCGGTGCTTAATGATTTTCTGATGAACACGTAGATAATAATGGTACAATCCTTTTTTTTTTGCAAAGTATCCATGGAATGTCAAATAATGTTATATTTACTGTATTGTAAAATTTATGTGCATTGCATAGTTGAAAGTTGCAATTCTGTAAATTTTCAGCTTTATTCAGCTACTTATTTTGTACTTTAAATGTTGTATTCAATCATTGCAATTGCAAAAATCAAATATAGAGTTGACAGACGGTAATCAAGCTCAAAAATCCATTGAAACAATAGAAATCAGGAGCAGAGCAAATAAGGATTTCTAAGCACATTAGAGGTTGGACCAGGCACCATAAAGGAGTAAGTAACCCCTGCCGACCGGTCACTTTCGCCGTGTGCTACTTGTCATGATCGGGAAAAAAAGGAACATTCGTAATCAATTCAGTGTGTAAATAATGGCGTAGCAATTAGTATGAAAAAGTCAGCATTCGACTTAATAATTGATTGTATTTGCTTACAGGGTCTTCTCATCAAGAAACTTGATAGATGATGACTGTAAACGAGACTATAGAAAAGTTGAAGTCATCATGTTTATCATCAAGCTTGGTTGTTAGTTTACCATTTATGTCTATTTCTAGTAAAATATCCAAATATTAAACGCGTGTCAGATTCTGTGGTATTTTTTATTTCAAGTTCACTGGGGTATCAAGTCGACATATAAATGGAATAAACTATTGTTAATTGATAATACGTCGTTGATATATCTAAATATCGAGTTGAAGGCCACAGCAAGTGTTTTCTTCTTTTCATGTACAAGTTTTTGAATATATTTTGCTTCATATGAATACAAAAATAGGTTTGCTGGTAACGGGGCGCAATTGGTACCCATGGAAATATCGACAGATTGTTGAGGGACCTGATCTCCAAAAAATAAATAGATATTGTCAATCAGAAACTCAAATATCCTTTTAATATCAACCTTAGAGTACTTGTGTGTAGAATTAGTATGTTTTTGAAAAAAATAATTTTGCAAATGACAAATGACAAGGTAAGTAAATTTACGAGTTCCATTTTATTGAAAAAGCAGCTGTCTATGATGTCAGAAAGCCTGGATTTTGATTTATCGTGGGAAATAGTTGTATAAAGTGTTGAAAAGTCGTTTTCAGCGATATTGACATTTTTAGACATATTTTATACATTTTATCTTTGCAAATTCTGAGATTTTTTTAAGTATAGAGATAACACCGAAAAGGGAGCACAATACTCCTTTTCTAGCGATTTTCATTGGCTACCCGATTTTTTTT